AGGAGCTCCCCCAGACCTCGGGCCCTTCAAAGCTCAGATCACAGGAGAACCTTGAGTCCCTTCTCCTGATACTTCTTTGTGAGAATCCAGTGCCTTCTGAGGTGACCGGCGGCAGGAGATGCCTCCCCATCCAGGGAGCTCCCTTCGGAGTACTGTGACTCAGTGCACCTTGCTGTGAGCTTGTGGGTTTCCATCCGTGGTCCCTGCAGAACCAGACTTGAGATGGTCTTAGCGACAGAAATGGCAAGACTGATTCCAGGGCAGGGCCGGGTGGAGGGAACAGGGGAAATTGAATGTGACCTCAAATACCTAGGTTGGTGCTGGGGCTGTTACTAAAATGGGGAGCCTGGGAGGTACCGGTCAGGAATCGAAGTCTAGAGTAAATGGTGGACATAAGGCTTTTTTTTTTTTTTGACATAAGGCATTTTTAAGATGCCATTTGTCATCCAAGTTAGGACTTCAAAGAGGCATTCAGGTCTATGAGCCTGGGGCTGAGGTGAAGGAGCTGGACTAGAGATTCACGTTGGGAGTCGTCATTCTTAGGTGGTGTTCACAGCCATGCAAGTGGATCAGCTCATCTCAAGTGGTGCAAACTGTGGCTGAGGGGGGACAGGGCTGTGCCTGGTTCGGAGGAAAGCCCAGACCATGCAGCTTTGGTGTGTCAGTCAGCGGTGCTTGTGATTTTCAGAGCAATGGCATTTATCCTTAAGGGGGGGTGGGGTGGACAGGGCCACCCAGGAAGAAATCTGAAGGGAGGGTTGTGGCCACATTTGTGAATCTTGGGAAGACCCAAAGGCTGCAGAGTCCAGGAGGGGAACATCCTCAGAAGCTGGAGTCGGAGTAGGAAGTGGGGAGAAGGTAGTCACACTCTCCTGTGAGGAAGGGAGGGAGGCCTAGGGAGTCCACACCCTAGCGGACTCTTTCCCACGAACAAAAGGCAATCAGACAGAAGATTTGAGGTAAGAAGGGATGGGCACTGGGAGAGGAGCCATCCTGGAGAAAGATGGTTGAACAATTCTGGAATAATCTTCCTGCAACATAGAGTTAAAAAAACCCAGACTCTTAAGAACATTGATAGTGACTGGGGAGGAGATACTTCTTTTTCTGGCCTCCTAAGGGTAAGGCATGTATCCGGGGATACACAGAAGAATCGGGCAGTCTGTTCCGTGGGCTTGACCCTTACCAGGGGGAACAGTGCAAGTTTAAAGGGGGAGAAGGGCAGCGGAGGGAAACTAGCCAGGCCCCGTGTCAGGTACCATTCGGCCGCCCTACTTGCGTGTTGCATTCACATCCATGCCTCCCAGGTGGGCGGTGGCAGCCCCCTTTTGCAGATTGGGAATCCTTCTCAGAGTGGTTAAGGAATTGGTCCGTTTAGTGGCTAGTAAATGCTGTAACAGGATTCAAGCAGGGCCTTGTCAGACTTCAAAGGCGTGTTCTCTCTACTAATTCCGGTACCTCCCTGTTGTACCTGGAATGGTGAAGTAAGTCAGTTTCGGAGCCTTTCAGAAAAAGTACGATTATATGCCTCAGGACCATTTCACAAAGCTCAGCATTCTTTGATGGTTTGGAAGCACCGCAGTGCTTTACGCCCTACAGATGTAAGGTCTTAATGCTTTGTCGATGACGTGGTTGCAAATGACGTACAGGTGCAAAACCAGACTTAGCAGCTTCTGAAGGGAAACACTCCAGTTCTCCCTTGATCCGCTTTCTTCCACGGGATGTAACCTACTGCCGCATAAGCCTGAGCTTTCCATATGGAGTGAGGGTTTGATATCCAAAGTTAGCATAAAACAGTCAGATGGAGAAAATTGAAGATGACAGTATATTTTGGGGTTTCATTAGTCATGATTTACTATCTGTTAATGGCCCATAAAGTGAATGAAATTGAGTACAGAACATTGCATTTCTTACTTTCTACCGAGAGCTGTCTTCCAATGTAATTTTGTCTGCTTTGGAACTTCCGCTCAGCCACTAGGTCGCCTGGCAGTGTTCTGGTGGGATTGCATTTACACAGTGCATGTAATCTGAGCTTCCTTAGTCCCAAACACTGCAGTGCAGAATCATAGGCTGTAGCCATCACTTAGTTATACAAATACTTCTAAAACTATATGATACCAAAAAAAAAATAAAATAAAATAAAATAAAAAAATAAAAAGAGAGAGGGAGATTGCCTTTATCAAAATTCCTCTGGATTTTAAGTGCAAACTGTTGTTGAGCAGCTCTGATTTCCTTTGGATATGCATATATACATTTCTTTGCGTGTAACTTGGATTTTAGACTTGAACACCAAGCTCTTGTTTTCCATGAGCCACAAAAATCATAGCCAAATGACACACGTATGAAACATTTTATTCTTTTTTTCTGAGACAGAATCCTTGAATTTGGGACTTGGGGTGTGATTTTGTTTTTTGCTCTTTCCACTCTTCTTGTCATCTCACTCCTTTTTCCCACGTGGCCTCCAAGAGGTCATGGTCTCAAAGGAGCAGGTGGACAAATACCAGTTGGTCGCCAAGCAGTGCTGTTGTAGAGGGAGCCCAGCCAAGAGCTAAAGGACATCATCAGAGAGGACTTCCTGGAAGAAATTGGCTCTACATTCAGTTCTGAGGACAGAGTAAGAGTCAGCCAGGAGAAGGAATCAAGAGGGTGACTCAGGTGGCAGAAGCAGCCCGGGTAGAGGCCTGGAGGCTTGTGGGGTGGGGACTCGGGGAGAGTGCCCTGTGTGGTCCAGGGTGGTGGGTGCCCCTACTGGGGAGGACACTGGAGAGGGCCTAGGGGTGGAGGGCTTTGGAGGAACTTGGTTTTAACTAGAACTGACACAGAGGGGGCAGTGAAGGGTTTCATCAGGAAGTGACCCTCAGGAGAGCAGCTCTGCCTGTCCTTTTGAGCCCCACCCCTTCATTCATTCATTCAAAACACACACAATTCTGAGTGTCTAGGAGAGAGTGGGTGGACCAACAGTAGTAAGCAAAATGTACTTGCTTCTTTAGAGCTTAGCATTGTCAGAAGTTGACTTAGTTTAGAATTTTCTAGGGACACAGCAGGGCACCTAACCCAAAGTGCGGAGGTTGGAGGGAAGGAAAGCTGCCTTGACAAACAGTCAAAATGAGCCTGGAGGCAAGTGGGAAGTACCAGGTCATGGGGCCCCTGAGTTCACTGGGGACCTGGGTACTGAGGTGAGGCTGGGCAAGCAGGGTCGGGGGTGGGACTAGAACTCTACCAGGGAGCCTCTGAAGGGTTTGAAGTGGGGTGATGTAATAAAATTTCTGCTTTGGGAAGGCTGCCTTGGCTCTGTGTGTGTGTGTAGCGGGGAAGAGGGGGAGGGTGCCACCAACTGGGAGGGTCATTAGAAGACCATTCACAGGCTCGGAGGCCACCAGTGGGAGAGGGGCACCGGGGCTGCTTGGGGACGACAGGGGCAGTGTGGATACCGGATTTCCTTATGCGGAGGGCTTGTTAGCGTGGTCGCTCTAGCGGCACCTTGTGGCTGGAAAAAACAGATGGAGGCCGCCAGTGGACTTTTCTCTTCTCTCCTTCCCTGCCTTGTGGGATGATCCTAGCTCAGCCAACATATGGAACAGAAGAGCTAAGTTCCAGAGTATCCCAGGACTTTGCTGAGCTCGTTCGAGTGAGATCTGATAGGATTTAGGCTTGTGTTGAGATCTGCATGTTCACTTAGCTAGAAACGTCCAGTTTTTTGGATTTCCATAGGGGTATTAATTCTTGATAAAGATTGCTTTCTTGGTGAGAGGAAAGTTAATACAACTGCTGTCTTTCTCAAAAAAAAATCTTATCTATTAAGAACTTTAATATTCAAAATAATAGGAAAATTTTAAAATGATAAACTAAGGCTTTCGTGTAGTTTCTTTGGTTTTCTGAGTTGATGTGGAGGTAGAGCCTTTGCATTACTTAATAGCACATCTTTGTCAGTATTTAAAGAGCTGTTAGTGAGCGCCCCATACCCCACTTTTGAAAGCATCATTAAAACTTGCTCTGAAATAGTGAAGTCATACAGGTCTTGTTTGCAGAAGCCAAATATTTGGTTTATAATCTGCAGCATAGCTCCCTTTATAAAATAATAATATGTTCAAAATTAAGAAAGTGAAATATAATTGATTTTTTTAAAGCTGAAACATAAACTTTCTTGTGCTAATGTTGCAACTGGAAATTTCGAAAAGAAAAATCCTACTGTAATATCATCTACATGAAATACATATATGTCTGTCATGTTTGAAAAGTAACTGCACAGTGGTTTTTTGAAGTCAGGGTCATTCCAGCTCAGATACTGGCAGTGATGATTGCTGGTTTTCAA